GGACTTCATTTTTCTTGGCCAATGTATTATAGGATCTTCCTGTATTTAGAACAAGATATGCTCCACCGAAGCATTGAGTTACGTAAAGACTTGTCACTCCCTCAAAGGTGTAGAACCAAGGCGGTCCTTGATGGAAACTCTCTCCGTCCTCTGTCCCTTGTTCTATGCTTATTTCTTGTCCTCACGAGCATCCTTTATTTTCTCATCTCCACGGGAGGACTCACCTCACCTGGCTTTGGTCACGTCCTCGACATTCATATACTTATGTCCCCTTGATAACAGATCGAGCATGCTAGATGGTGGCTTTTTTAGGATAGAGAACATAAAACTCGATGAGCGCATACTTGCAATAAAGGCGGCCATTGCAACCTTGTTGTCTGGCTCCTCTACCTGGAGAACCTCCCTGTTAAAACAAGTGAGGTAAGTCCTTAGAATTTCATCCTAATCCTGCTTAATGGTGAGAAGGTGGGTAATTGGCTACTGGTATTGGCGTCCTTCTATGAAGTGTGAGATGAAGGATATGGTTAACTCAGCAAACGAGTGGATTGAAGATAGTTTGAGCTTAGCAAAACACTGGTGTGCAAGACGAGAGCTACCCACATGAGCCCACACCATCCATCTTTGTTCTGAAGCTCAAGAAGGATATCAAATGTATCGAATTTAACTAATGGCTTATCTTATAAAGGTCTTGTCACTGAATAAATATCGGATTGATCGAGAAACCTTTTTGATTCCCCTATCCCTAGGAGTAACAAACTACAACACAATTCTTATTATGTGGCCAATATGTACGACATGGGCGTGCCAAAGCTTGACGAGGATTTCCAACTCGAGATGTTATAGGGACCTAAATCATTAGGAGAGCGGCGACAATTGCTTCAACAAGAGCCACCATAGACATTGGAAATGTATTCAGTTATTTGATCCATTCCGTAGTGCGAAATCCATCAATGGCTAAACAATCATTTGGATAAGTAATTTTGGGATTTGCTCTAACCGAAACCCCAGAAAATAAAGATTGATTGCCCTATAGATGGACACCTTCCTTGTACTGAAAGGTGAGAGAAGGTTGATCTTGATCTAGGTCTAGCCTAACAAACCTACCCCCCGCCGATTTATTTATTTGTTATGTGAAAGGGTCACCACTACTAAGGATCTCCCCAGTAATCTTAGATAGGTCATCTTAGGGTCCTCCATGATTCATTATTGTGCTTACACAGCATGCTACCCTTTTTCAAAAGCTCCACGAGACCACTTACCACTAGTCTCTGGTCGGAGGGGTTTATTGCACAAAAACGCCAGAACGCAGCCTCACGAAGAGGGAAGCCCATTCGAGATTTAGATCAGAAGGCTCAAGAGACCTCTATCTAACAAGCCATTCTTTTTTTCTCTTTCGACCTTTATTGATGATTTTAGAATATGAGCTTACAAGCCAACTGCCCCCCTTGTTCGCTTACATTCCCTCGGGCTAGGTTCAGTTGTTGAAACTCAGCCAACTTGTGAAAATTCGTTTAATCTAAAAGCATCTATTTTCTCCAACCGCTAATCCTGCTAACTCCAACGACAGGCAAAGGCCACTCCACAAGAGAACCCCAAAACGGGAGCAAACACCCCTTCTACCTTTCTTGCTATCCTTTAGAGATATAGGTTGCAAAGAGATGGTGAAAGTGGATTAGAGTTCCCAATGGATGGTGAAAGTGAAATAGGAGACCTCAAGCTGCCATACGAGAATAGAAATAAGGGATAGGCACCCAAGCAAGAAAGGGTTCAATGAACGCTATAGTTCACGATGCATAGTTTTCAACTAGAAAAGAAAGGCAAGAACCCTACTTTAGAGATATAGGTTGCAAAGAGAGGTTGCTACTGAGCGCTAACCTGGGATGGGGACAACAGACGATAATAGAAGACAATAAGACGATGCTTCATGAATTAAAGATATTATAATATACTCTTTCCAAAAACTTCTCATACTAGACCAACCCATTAAAATGCAAACAGGGATCAGAAATATGGTCAATATCATGAAAAATAAAAAGATGCAGTCTATACCCAAATAAAGAAGCCATCAAAGGCTTTCTTCAAATTGAGATTTGGCCATATAAGGATCAAATTGTATCCGAAGGTCAGAAAGGGAAATTTTTTTGCATATCGGATATAGAAACTCATCTATGTATTATTGCAACGATTGATTACCTTATGTGCATGTGTTTCTTTCTCTGGTAGATGATCGTTCAAATTGGAGATGTGGACGAGTTTTAGCCTAGCCCCAAGAAGAAGGTACCGGGACCTCATTGAGCACAAGATTTAAGTGGTTATTGGAGAGTACCCACTCATGCATTGGTTTTGGGCCGAGGATCAGGGAGGCCAAATTTACCTTTATGAACCTCAGCGTGAAGTGGTCAAGTTCTTGTCTGATACGAGAGATGGAGTCAAGCTACATCAACTATAGAATCAAATAATGGATCAAAAAACAATCAAGATCGGAAAGAAGAACTGACAATTGTAAGACTAGTTTCTTCTTCTTCAAAACAAGCAAACCAGCTACTCCTATTATTTACTATCTTACTATTGCCTATAAGATGTACAATGCAATTTCCATCCGAATTGAGGCAATCTTTCCAGATTCGATATCCAAGAGTTCCACTTACAATTGGATGAAAAACTCCGTTTAGCTGAAACATGTGTGGCTTATCTTGACTTTTTTCCCCTTTAGGCTCTCTGAGGATCAAAAGGAAGCAAAGTTCCCATTGATGATAGGAAGAGGGGTACTCCCTATACAAGGGTTCAAGTTGAGCATACCCTTCGATTGAAGCTTTCCTCTCTCCTCCTTTTTTAGTCGACACCATTTTTCACCTTGAATTGGTCAAAGCCAAAAATCTGATGAATAAAAGGAAAAGAGATCAAAAAGATACGCGAACGACTTTACTATAGTATAGGTCGGATGTTTCCGTGAGTAGCGTATGGGCATCCGTGGTTGGGTAGACGGGGGTACAAATTCTGCCATGGAAGCTTTGGAGTGACCAACATCACTGTCTTGACTGTGTTACCAGAGGCTCTAGGGAAGTCAGAATAGAAGAACACTCATCTTGGGGTAGGCTTACTACTTAGATACTTTTAGCAGTTATCTGCTCCACACTTGGCTACCCAGCGTTTATTGTGGGCATGATAACTAGTACACCAGAGATGCGTCCTTCCCGGTCCTCTTGTACTAGGGAAAGATCTTCTCAATGCTCTAACGCCCACACTGGATATGTACTGAACTGTCTCATGATTTTCTGAACCTCAGCTCACGTACCACTTTAATGGGCGAACAATCTAACCCTTGGAACATACTACAGTCCCAGGTGATGAACAGCCGACACCAAGGTGCAAAGGAATGCATCCAATAGTGCTCTGTCTCATTGGTCCTCTCATGCCAGAATTAGCTTACAAACCCACTTTGTTTTTCCTCTAATCACTTCAATTAGAATACATGACTTCTCTTTTTTTAAAGTGAGACCATGTGAGATCATTCAATCAAGTTTTCACCAGCTTTTTCTAGGGGGTGAAATAATTAAAAATGGCATTTTTATCGGGTTTCCTAGATCAAATCAAAAAATTCAACACCCTGTGAAATTATGCTAAAAGTATGTGATATCACATAGGTTGACTTTGGTTCGGTATGATTCAATACAACTCTCTAGCATGGTTTTTCTATTAGTATGGTTCCACACTTTCCAATCCAGCCTTTTGCCATTCATTAACTTCCTTTCCCCTTCGCCTATTCTCGAGTAGTCTTGATGATACCATTCTTCCGAACTGTGTAGACCCCACCCAATCATAGGATCATATGAGAACATCGTGCAGATGCTCAGGTGCCATAGGCTGGCTAGTAAAAGAACCGAGAAGTACAACGCCTCTACTGACTTCAAGCTCTGTTGTCACTTACTTTTCTTTCTCTCTCTTGGGTCGTGTGATAGTCTGTTTTCCTTACATTATGCAAGGCGAAAGAACACTGACCAGCCTTTCTTTGAAAAATAAAAAAATGATTCAAAGGAGTGAGTTAGGGCGTGGACTGAGGCACACGTCATGTCCTAGATCTTTTTTATCTAATAGATGTATAAAGCAACTCTTTTTATAAGTCTCGCTTAGTTAGGAGCGCAAAAAAAAAGGTGTCATGTTGGTCGTATGGTGACTTGTTGTGGCTCTGGTGCTCTTCGTGGGGCTCCCAAGGGTGGAAACAGGCCTCCGTAGCACTCCAGGGTTAGTGGCGAAGATGCATTGACTACTGAGAATCGATTAGAGGATCTACTAAAGGGATCCACCAGCCGTGACCATTTGAGAACCACGAAAGGACCAAAGAAAAGAGAAAGCAGTAGAGAAAGACCTAGCAACAGAGGCCTTGTGAAAGGCTCTCAAGAAGCCAGAGTAGAATGTGGTGGAACAACTAAAAAAGATCCCCGCCGATAGGACAACCTAGACGCACCCGCTTTCTATTTTGGCATCTTGTCATGCCCAGATATTACTTGCAGTATTAATTGATAATGGGAGTGGTTGGAATGTTTGCATGTTGAGTAGTGTAAAGGCCCTGGGGGCATAGGGATATGAATAGAAATATGATGATGACCAACCTCCATAGGGCATTCAAAAATTCTGTTTGCCAAACTGTTGGAATAATTGAACTTGACGTTGTGAACAGGCCGTACCAGTTCAAGATTAGTTTGAATGTAGTAGATATCGAGGCATCGTTCACTTTCTTGTTGGGAATACTTTGGCTCAATTCAGCAGGGCCTTTCCCCATAAGGCCCATCTACGCTACACCAAAGGGTAAAGTTCATTATCGACGACCAACTGGTCACTATCTTGACTGATGACAAAGAAGTGGGCTCAAGAAAGGTAGAAGTTGTGCAACATGTAGAATCGGGACTTCCATTCCTATTGTATTAGTTCACGCTAGATCAATTAGGGCAATTGTATCCCCCTCGATGCAAGGCCATCAAAAAGAATGAAGACGAGCTCACCCGGGTGAAAAGTGCTAGCGAAGATGAAATTGCACCCCCTACGTTCGTACCACTCCAACTACTGCATAAGCTGCTCGTAAGATGATTGTAATGTTGAAGCGGCACTGATACTAGTGCTTTTGTGCCAATGACTGTCAAAGTGGAAGCAGCATCATCAACTGTTGAATCAATAGAGACGAAAGAAGCTAAAGCCAAATTGGAAGAGAGAGAAGAAGTTGAAACTAAAGCTAAATCAACTAGAGCAGCATCCGACAGTAGCATTTACTTTTTTCTTACGAATACTACAGCTGGTGGAGCAAGGGAACGAGCTAAGTGATTGCACTGAGAGCGAGTATCGGGCTATGTTCTCAGAGGAAGTTAGAGAGGTCATTAGTTAGGGGGTCTCATGGTCTTATCCACGTTCAGCTGAAAAACCTTTGTGCCATACATCTTTTCAGTATACCAAAAGTACTCTAGTTGTATATAGTTTCCCTATATTGAGAGGAGGGCTTTTCGAGACCAATCTAACCAACTAAAGAGGAGGCAGATCAAAATATGGTGTGAAAAAACCCAAATCGATATGAATGAAGGATGTCTCTTGAACTTGTTTTTCTCATTCAGTTGAGGGAACAACCACAACGTTACGCCCCAAAATAGAACTATACAAAGCCCTTTTGAATGACTGCAATGATTTGAATCCTTGTTCTTCGACTACTTTGACTAAGAAGGGCTATTTTTGAAAGAAGAGATTCAATGCCCCTGAAATAGGGGTTGAGGGTAATTAGGAAAGCTCTACACATGATCTCGTCAAGCAAATTATGGAGTTGCATGAGAGACTTATACATGTCAAGGTGATCGAAGGGATCCTTAGTACCATCAAAGATCTCTACGACAGACATCTTGAATTTTGAGGGTAAAGGGTAGTTGACAACATCTGCCACAAATGGAGTGTCAATACGTCTTACTAAATAAACCATTTTTTTTGGGAGCCTGCGCCTTAATGGCATTAAGGGCATTGCCAAGCTAGTTTTACACCTCCTTAATTTTCTCATTACATTGGTTAGGGATACCCTTAGTCGAATTGTGGTAGTAACTCTTATGATCTGCATACTAGTTCTCCCCCTTCGTCTTCCTACCCAGGAAGGTCGGCCGCTTGTAGGGGTGGAGCAGCTACATGAGGAAGAAGAGCATGTGGGGTGCTTGGGTGCTAAGGAGAGGCTACCTGAGAGGGGGCCCCAAGCGTTGTGTGGGAGCGCCTTGGCACCCTGAATGGAGAGGTTGTGAGACCTCCCCTGGTAGAGGGACTACGGCTCCTCCTGCGAGTTGGGGGAGCGACGCCTCCTGAGGTTAGAATCAGTTGGAGGATTTTCTAGTTTTAACTCACCAGTAGGTGCATGGTCTCCAAGAGCTGTTGTATGACAACAGGATTTTTGGTAGTGGAGGGGTTCCGCTGGTAGAGGTGAGGCCTCCTCCCTACGCATTGGGTCATTATCCTTGGGTTGTTGATTCGTCGGTTTGGTTGTAATTGCCATGGATTTAAAAAAGGTTAGGATAAAAATTGACAAATGGTAGAAAACTTAGAAGTTTCCTACAAACAGCGTCAAACTAAATGATGTACAAAATAACTTATGCACAATAAAATCAATCGAGTGTATAATGTAGGGTAATTAATGAAGAAATTAATAACAAACGACAACGATTTGGTGGTTGGGCTTATATGACCAAACCACTGAAGGCGGTTACGGTGGCCAGGAAACTTTATTAATGAGAGAATAAAATAGTAGGTGAGGGAGAAAGAGAAAGAGAGAGAGGGAGAGAGGGAGCAAATGTCAGTTCAATGTGTGGTGTGTGAGAGATGTCCCTCATGTGTAGAGGACTTACAATTTATAAGCACAGAGTCCTAATTGAGGCAGTGGCGTAAAGACCAGACTACTAATCTTTCGGGGAGGATAGCTACAATTAATGATAGATCAACTATGAATTAGCGTAATCTTCGAGCAATGGTTATCCCAATAATTACTCTCCACGTGCATTGATTTCCTGGATCTCTTGGACCTTGAATTGGGATGAGGCCACTAGTTGAATGAACTTGATCTGCTTTTTAATTACTTGGGCTTAACCCATGAATTGGGTGCGACCCAACTGCATCTAGGCTCATCAACTTGTTTTGCAATTATGGAGTTGTCATTATATATCATTGATCGCCTAAATATATAACCTTAATAAGTTTTAACAAAATCGTAGTTGACGTTTGATGTAAATATGTCACACTCCCACCCCAGATCACATAGGGTAGGCAGCGGACCAGCCGCTAAGACCTTAACCAATCAACTATGTGCATAATAAATGCAAAATACAGTGGAGGACAATTATAACGTGATCCAATGCATAGACCTATTGAATACCAGATGAATAAACTAAACATCACCAACATCATTATTAAACTCATAAAAAATAATAATTAAACCATAAAGTTCACTACTCTAAGCATAAACAACATTGCTCCCAAAACAATTGAATATTTATCTCAAAACTATAAAAGACTTTTATTCCTGAAGACTTACAATAAAATAAATCTTCAATTCCTCTAATACCTTATCTATATGTGGACTCACTCTTACCCTTGATTCTTACCTGAAAAATGTTAAATACCCACATTCAATTTCAAATCATGTTTGTTACCACTAGCATGATAATTGTTTCAATCTCTTGTCATCACTAGCTTGATGACTGGTCACGTTTCTTGTTACTACTACTCTGGTAACTGGCATCGTCTCTTGTCATCACTAGCTTGATGACTAGCCCCTATGTGCACATCCCTATACCGACCACACCAATATATAATCTCGTTACCATTTAGACCTGGTAACTCAGTCCCCGTCTAATAAACATGATTTTAACACACATCAAAATTATAGTTTTAGTCCCAACGCACACAAAATTTCTCTTTCATCACCAAAGCAATAATATAAAATCATCCCACAAGTTTTCCACAATTCACATGTATAATAGTTTATAATTGCAAAATATTTAATTACAACCCCAAACATCAACACACATATCATATGTATGAAAATTTTACACTCACGCACCCACATATTTAGTATAGAAAATTCTTCCAAAAGAAATAGTAAACGACTCGCCTTGATTTTTAAAATCCAATTCAAAACTCTCTTTCCCAACCTCAATGCAATCACCACTTAATCCAAAATAACATATAACGATCAATTACTATTCCTAATTTCGTCGTTTCGCAATTATATATTTAATTTTTGTACTTTCTACCCATTGATATATACTTTATATATCATTTACATATAAATATCATTTCTAATACGAGGTAATAGGGTATAAAAGTAATCTGAGCTGTTTAGAAAAATTTTCTAACGTTTTGAGATCAAATCATACTTTTTAAAAATTTTGGGATCAAATGTAATTTCTTTGAAAAACGAATTTTCTGTTTTCGGGCCTGCCATAAATTTTCTAAAATTCTATTCTTCTATCTTACAATGTAAAATAGTGGTTAAACTTAAGTTTAGAAGAATATAAGGATCAAAATAAAATTCTTTAAAACTAAAAGAGAGCTTTCTATAATTTCTAAAATCCATCTTCTCCACCCACCGGAAGTTGCAGGTTTGCAACTTTTCTTCCTTCTTCCCCTTTGCTTTCTTTTTGTTTTTTAATACCTTAAATAAATTCTTTAAAAACCTCAAAAACAATAAATCTCTACTAGGTTTGAAAAAAAACTTAAATTAACAACTTACAACAAAACTCATTTATATATTCATCAATATTCTTCACCATGAACACACACACACACACACACAGATATATATATATATATATATATATATATATATATATATATATATATATATATATATATATATATATATATATATATATATATATATATATATATATATATATATATATATTCATTATCACTATTTATGATAACTCTAATACTATATAATTAAATAAATTACAAAATTCACCAAATAATTAATGAATTCATACCTTCAATGAGCCCAATTCTTTTTTGTTTTTTGGTTTATTTCGTTCTTCTTTCTTCCTTCCTCTTCTTTGTTCACTGGGCAGCCCCTCCACAAGCCTTCTCACCAATAAAAAACTGTACAAACCTAAATACATTTATATACTTACGAAGTGTTTGACCTATCCAACAATATTATCCTATTTAAACCACATGTATAACAGTTCTAATAGGTCTCTATAAATTTAGGGGTGTCAATTTTTTTCGTTAACACAAGCCCGACTCGAACCGAACCCGACATGAACGCGAAAATAACACGATTAGTTGACATGAGTAATAAATGGGTCAAATTCAGGTTCGACTCAAATAACACGATTAATGAGTATTGTAAATAGAAGATAATTCTTAACGAGTATTGTAGATAGAAAATAAGAATTTTATAATTTTTTAAATAGTATTATATTAGTTGTTGTTAAATTAAATAATTTTTTATTAATACGAATATTGACACGTACTGAAAGTGATACGACACGACACGAAAGCGACACGACATGACACGATTAACACTCCTGACTATAATTATCTGATATTTCCCCCTTCACAAAAAAAAAATTAAATTATCTCCGCTGATTTCCAAATTATCTCCATAAGCCCTTAAGGATAGACCCTAAGTCAAACGAAAGTTTAAAACTTCTCAAATCTGACTTATTCACTTTTATTTTTATTATTATTATTGTTATTTAATTTTTTTTACCTCCGGTATTACAATGTATAACACGGCTCAAGTGACGCGGTCATGAATTTTTTCATGTCATTAACGAATCCCTAAAACTCAATAATACAACCCTTTCAGTTTCAGTTTTTCATAATTTTGTATAATGTTTTGACATACATAATTGGTTTTAGCCCATTGTGTCATCAAACTAAATACTACAGCGAACGAATAACTTAATATTCAAAGGAAAATATAAAAAATGGAAATTTAAACCCAGACACTAACCTAAATAGTTATTAATAACCCAAGAAAATCAATAGCATTTCATTAACAACATCCGTTAAAAGAAAATAATAGTAACAAAAAATAATAACATGGAAAAATGTATATAAAAAACTAAACCATGTAAAATTAACAACAGATATTAAAAACAGAAATAAGAACAAGCATAAAACAACATCAGGAGCCAAAGAACAAGTATCAAGTAAGAGCGTCATTATTTTTGCCAAAATTTAGAAGAGAGAGGAACCCTACTGGCGCGTATTTCA